TTTTAAAACGCGCGCTGTATGTGGGAGAAAACGCGTGATTGGTAAGCAGCAGTGAATCGCAATGCTTGTGCAGAGAGAGGCATAACGCGCTGGTGCTTTGCGGTGGTCAGACAAGTTAAAAATAGCTCCAGACATCTTGGCAACTAAGAAAACAGCTCCTTTCGTGACACAACATCACGGGGTTATCCTGAGCCTAGGGTGCACCAAGCATTCTTTGCAGCACCTCCTATTACAGGCTTGGCAGTTGGGGGGATGTGGGTAAGGCTTAAATATATGTTGCAATAATAATAAAGAAAAACAAACTTCTCTCGGTGGGAATTTCCCAAGTTATGACTGTTTAATAATGTCTTGCCCTGCCAGCCGAGACACTTGCGTATTGGCGTACAGTGTTTTATATATGGGGAAGTGAAAATATTACGTGAATGTACATACACAAGAAAATGGTATGTACTACTGATGAGGACTAACTAAAAAATTATATTTTTTCTGAACATCATTAAGATAGTCATGGCCGTTTAGTACAAAGCACTACAGCGGTTTCCAAATATGACAAATTACTGCAATTTTGATTTAAAGCTTTCGTGACTGCAGGGATTCATATTATTGGTTCTTTTGGTAAAGTCACGTAGACGGAAACCAATAAAATAACAAAAATATAAAAAAATACAATTTTACATTTTCAAATGTTCTTGCTGTAGAATGTCACACCTGATGATTGCTTGTGTTGCAGTCGAAACGTCGTGAGATTTTTTTACTAGTTTTATATTTTTATTATTTTAATATTTACCTTCTACGTGACTTTACCGAAAGAACCAAGAATATAAATTACTGCAATGTCATCTCGTTGATTCTGTCTGACACGAGAGATTGGCTGCAAACACTGCTCTGGCTCATGTTAGTTCTCTTAATCGAGTTGAGCAACATATGTTTACAATCTTAATTAAGCTGATAATGATGCGGTGAGGATACAATAGTATTTCAGAGTGATGGATATAAAACAACAGGAAGAGTCCTGACTGACATTCAAGTAATTATAAAAGCATACATAATTAGAGCTATGTACACTGTCTAAATAAATTAATGCAAATATTGGTCTGTAAAGCTAATAGACCGATAGGCTAAACGGTCTTTATTTATTTGCACGTGAAGATAGCCAACAGAGTTTTTTTTATGAAATACCCGTGACTCTCAGCAGCAATGCACTACGAGTTTGATTCCAGTTATTATGATGCACGCAGGGCTTGACGCGAGATGTAAAAACATTACCTGCTCCAACCGATGATCAATACTTAATCTCTTAACTGGCAACACAAGAAGCTCAACCCTGAGCGCAGGTGACGAGAAAGGGCAACAGACACCCGAATACCAAAGTTACAAATCGATGGGGATGGCACGAGCGAGCCCGTCCCGTGTCAACGACATCGATGCGACGACGAAAAGGGATCTCAGCCGACGACGGGCTCTGTGTGTGTCACTGCGACTCATTTCACCCGTGACTGAGTGAGATTTTAGGACCGGCTGGTCAGCTGATGTGGGGGTGGGGGGGGGGAGTTAAAAGCGAGTGGCACGTTGTCCTCTCCTTTCACAACCATTATGCACACGAGGGAGGAGGCACATAAGTGATAAAAATTGGTGGCGCACCTGCGTGATTGGACAATTTTCAACAATTACTGTGGTGGGAACAAGAACGAAAATGCATTTCTGACCATATTCGCTGCACAAATGAGGTGTTAACAAAAATAATGAAGGAAAAAGTCAACAACAACGTATTCAAATATTTAGCATTTTATGAACTGCATACAATAAATACCATGAAACTTTTACCATGTATGGCAGATAATTTTTTTTTTAAACATAGTTTTCGTGGATTTTTAATCCACTTAAATTGGCCTAGGTTATAAAGGTAGCAGATGCTACACAAGTGGTTTGAAAAGCACCAACATGGAGTGTGATCAACAGTGAATAAGCGTTGCACTGTGGGCTTAAGGTTGTGACGTTAGGGGTATTCTTGTGAATTGCCACATGCTCACAAGGTAATGTAAAACGTTTCTACCACTCATTTATTTTTCACCTTGGGACATAAGAGCCTGAATAACAAAGACACTCACGGCTGCTATAAATAAGCTAAACTTAAACAGTGTTAAAATGCCTACGACCATATCAGCTGGAACACGTACAATCTCGAAAACTAAGCAGCCTTGGTTGGGTGACCATCATACAACAATCTGATTTTCGTAGCGTTTGTAGGGGAACGATGTGGTTGGCAGCAGAAGTCTGCGCAGCAAAATCCATTGTTGCCAAGTGCGTACGTCCACACTCCACCGCTTCCACCAACCCGCACTGATCAGCGTGGTCAAGTATGGCCGCACCTCCGATTAGCACGGTTGGCTATGTACGGCGTGAAAGAAGTTCAACATATGTACATACAAACAACCTCCATGACTCGCACAGGGTGTGGGGGAGGCCCTCTCATCATTCAGCAGCAGATTGACAAAATATTGTAAACTTAACAGTGTGGCCATTCATTTTCCCACTGCACAGGTCGGCATTTGCGTGTGTGGGGGGGGTTGAATAAGCAGTTAAAAAATATTAAATGTGGGCGTGTCGGCTAGACAGCCTCACTTTGTCAACATTGCTCGACTAAGCCTCCTAAACTGCACACCATTAACCCTACAATAACCACAGGTGCCAAAGCAGACAGTCGGGTATCTCAATAGCCACCACCCCACCCCCGGGTAAAAAGCATCGTGTAGGCATGTTGTTTGTGCTGCCATATAAGCATGACGTTAGTGCGGCCATGGAAGTTCTCTTTTGCGTTTCCGAATCTCTGTCAAGTTTTAAGACACTTAACGATCGACTTCGTTGCATGTCACAATTCTGGGGCACGATCCAAGAACTGTTTTGTTTTGAACTATGTTTGTGCTGTTAGTATATATGTCCAATTCCTCAGTCTCAAACCGTCACTTTGTAAGGCCATATCATTTGTAACACCACATGTACGCCCAGTCAACACTGTCTTGTTAATTATATCGTTTTTTTGTAGTATCTCATTTGTATGCCTCAATCGTATTCCTTTGTAGACCCCTTAGAAGGAATGCCTTTGTAGAGAATCCTTTGAACAATTTGCTATATTTATACTGACCATTAGTATATTTCAAACATGTCGCATAACATTTGCATCAATCGCAAATAACTTGATTCTTACAAGGGCAAATTTAAAGCATTTACTATGAGCATAAGAATCCATTTTTATGGAGGAATTAATTATGATATCACTTTTGACTGTGTTGCTCTGAAACAACAAATCCATAAGTTTCATGAAACACAACAGTGTGCAAGCCTCACTGATGAAAGTCATTAAGGTGTATATACTGAACAACACATTTTTTTAGTTTGACAAATAATGAATGCAGCTAGCGGTAAGTGCCTAATTAAATTTGTTATATGCAAAAGTCTAACGAGGTCTGTTGGGAGTTTTGTGTCCATTTCTCAACGATGCCGATTGTTTAATGAGATCTGCCCAGACATGTCGAGGCAAGTGTGGCCTGCAGACCGAACATGCCAAGTAAAGTTCACCAATTTATAATCCCTGGGTTAACCCCGCATGTTATGCTTTAGTATTTTTAGTTACATATTTTGCCAGCCTCTATAGGCTTGGGTGTTAATTTTTAACTCCAACTTAAGCACGTTTGAAACAGCTTGTAGCTGTGTAGTACATAACGTGTTACATTCATAATGTTACTTTACATTGAGTTCATATTTATGTATTTTAAATTAAAAATCCCTTCATGTCATAAGAGTAAAGCTTGAAATAAAATAAACATTAACTATTTAGGTGAAACGTCAGTCACATGCACCACCCCTCGCAATAAACCCTTTTGCGAAAACCACACAAAGCCCTTGTTGCAAACAATATAACATCCTTGACCTAAAACCTTTACCCCAATAGCAAAAAATAGCAAAAAAAGCTACAAAAAGCGTCTCCATGCTTAAAAACAAGCATTTGGCAGTTCACATCTCTGAGAAATTGGTGGAAACTCCACATTCCTGTGGAAGGGACCTCTCCACCCACAGCATAACCAAAAAAAGAGTTCCACAAAGTGGAGTTCATTATTTTAATCCTGTAACGATGACGGGCTAACCCGACCCTCCTCTGCAATACAGCCACCCAAGCAGGTTAATTGAATCAAAGCAAGCACAAGTGGCCAAAACAGCCAAGGTCGATGATGTGACCATTCCTCACTATCGCTTATTTCCCTCCTGCTCTAGCCACCTGACACTAGCTCCTACCCTAGGAGTGGGGCCTACCACCTCCGAAATAGCCTGCAAACGATATTTTATACACAATTCATAACTGATACTTGGGTTAGGCCATGTAATGATCGACCAAAAAAAATGTGAAATGTCACATGCAGTCAGACTTCTTGGATTTCAAGCATCTGGGAAATCAGACTACCTGGATTCTGTCCCGAAAACGCTTGGCCCAGTTTCAATCGAAACATCAAATCTAATCGCTAAATACCAGTGAGCTGAAACAATAAGTTAAACGCTTGCACACTTGACAATATTGTTTGGCAACGTCACGTGGTGAAAGGGTCTGATGACAGCATCATTATGTGTCCTGACCAAAAGGAAAATTCCCCATCATAACATTGGCTGCAACAACATACACATTAAATATGTTTTTTAACACACGCCCACCAGCTCTTAACCCCAAATGCTTGCTCTCTGACCCCCCAAAGAATTGTATATTTGGAGTCACGTGGATTTTTTTCCGGGGCCTCCAGTTTTCCCCTCAACTTTTCGAAGTGACATGCGTTTAGAGTATTTGGCTGCTATAAATATCCACGTGATAAGCCACTTTTGTTGAGCTTTCATTTGTGGCCAGGTCGCCTCTGATAAAGGGCTATATAGCTCAGTGGGCCTTACCTGGTAAAATCCAAATAATTTATAGTTTTAATTGGCTCTAAGCTCCGACCTGGCTTGAGCCCGACCCGCACCTTAGACTCCAGGTAGATCCCCGTGGCGGGCAGCTTGGCCATCTGCCAGATGCAAATGGCGAGCCCCACGGCGCACGCCACAAACAGCACATCGTTGACCAGCACGCGCAGCAGCACCAGCCGCTTGAGCACCATGTAGGAGGGGCCGCCCGCCACGAGGACGGCGCACGACACGTTCACCGCCAGGAAGAGCAGCGAGGCTAGCAGCAGCACCCCTCTGAGCACCCGGCTATTCGAGAAAGAGACAGACGCACACACACCAAAGGAGGACAAATAATAATGATTTAATAGTTTCGTAAAGCAGTTTTCATTCACTCTCACAATCTGTCTTACACCTGCACATGACCTGAATTCGTAGCTCAAGGGAAAAATATCTTTACGATCACAAATATTGTTCCCGAATTTCCAAATCTAATCTTCCCCAGATCGAGCATTCCATTTTTCTGGTCCACTTTAATAACGTTAGCTAAGGGTTCCACTGCATTTCCAGCAGACTTTCTGTCTGTTTATTAAAGAAACCCAGCCATATCATATACATAAACATGAACAAGGATTGGAAGTCCTTGGCTCATATTTGAAATAAAGTGCTCATTTCCAGTCCATACAATGAATGTTTGATCACATGGTGCATAGCTCCATTTATTTACTTACCCAGGAAAATCCCAATGCTCATTATGATGAGTCTCATTATCAGGAGGGTTTTGCATTGGGATATTTGGCTAATGTTTTAAAAGCATGGTTAGCTTTGTGTGGGAGGAAACTCAAGTAGCTGCAGAATAGGCACTAAGTGTACTAGGTGATAACACCAAAATCTTTTGCGATGTAGATGGTTCCCAAACCCATTTGCTGTACCTCCTGACAACATCACATCCCAGCAGGATGTTTCGGAGTTTCAGAACTTTACATAACACACCAAACCTCACCCCACAACTTTACATAATACACCAACCTTCACCCCACGCCCGTTCGGCACACAAAAGAAAAACCGAATATAAATATACAAGTGTAAAACCAAAACAATGCAGATTTTTTTGCATGCTCAAGAGCTCACACACAACAATGGATTTACAGCCAGGAAGTTGAATGGACAACATCAGCAGGACTGCTGCCCTCAGCACAGCTGAGAAAACAACTGGGCTGCATGGTGGATGGCAATGAGTGCCTAACTCACACGCAATAAAAAAATGCATCACAGTGACTTGCAGAAATTAGCCTGCTCTGATTTGCCTCATTAAAACGGCTTCGTGGAACACACTCGTTGCACCATGAGGTTTTTAATTCAGCAATGCAGATTGCCAGGAATTCGGCCGTGTGATTTTGTCACTAGTTTTAATAACACCCACACGTTTGTGTATGTATCAAACAATTGGAAAGTTTCCCAGGTACTCATTCTTACTTGTTTTTATGTTGCTCTTCAGCGTGCTTCGATTTTGCTCTTATTACCATCTGCAATTAGAAACAAAGACATAACATTTGCAACAAAACTCGACAATGTTATGATCATTAAATAGGGACACATACATGCATCTTCATTAGCACTATTGTATGAAACTCTTGTATTGCTCCGTTGGCAAACAATTTGCGCATGTTCATTTTCCACGTAACTGCTCAGGAAAATTACTGCTGCAATTAGTGCAAGCCTTACGCGTTTTTGTTGTTGAAAACTACACATCTTCAAGACTAATAGCTGCACATCAACACATCATTAAGGTCTTGATTTAGCATTTGTTAATCTAGGTCTTGATTTCAAGTGACACAATAACCAGATGGGTAACGCATCCCTTCTTTCACTTAAGGTTGAATGGTGCCAGTGACAGGTGAGACAAAGCTAATGGCTTTTCTTTTAACTTTGTTCTAATAAAGGCAAGAACAATAAAGACAAGAATGTGCTCTTCCATCACAACAACGAATCAACACAAGGCATACACACACATAAAAAGCACGTGCTTCCAAACGAGCAGGATTGGTTCAACATTATTGAACTGGTTTCGACATTTAGTGTTGCATCGGCAGTCACACTTGCTTGAACCAATGGTGGTGAACTGCCAGATGTTTATTGGCAACAAATCTCAGCAGTCAAGCGACTCTGCTGACGACACTAAATGTCAAAACCAGTTCAGAGTTTGCTGGTATTTAACCAAATGTCACCGAAACTATACATTCTCGTAGACCGTGTGGCTCACGGAATGTGAAAAAAAATATTGTATTTTTGATATGATAGACATATGTGTGATAGAGGCATATTGTCCGATTATAAGTTTCTTAACTTACATTCTCCACGATGGTTAATGATTATTTTGTGTGAGATTAGCTTAAAATATTCTCCCCAATGTTGCTGTGCTGAAGGACTATGGTCAAGAGAGCAGTGTGGGGGACAGATGAGTGTGATTGTTTGCCGGTGTTAATTGCATTGTGCGTTTACACTGCGGCAATGTTGTTGACAGCTGCCGACCTGCAAAGCTCCGAAATAACATCGGTTTGTTCAGCAAAGTGTAACCAAACAAGCGAAGTTGGCAAACTTGGGAAAGATACACACACACACAAGCAGAGCCTTGAGGCAAGCTGGCCAGCTGGCCTCGACCTATTTGGAAAATACACCAAGTAATATTCAAGGCCGATAATGCACCCGACTAAACCCAGTGGATGCCGTGTAAACAATATGCTGGGTCTCTCAGGGCACTGGCTGAAGCACAGCAATCACAAATCCATCACCACATTAATCGGTCCGAACACAGGCAGTCATTTGTGCCGTAATCGATGTCGTTCACCTAAAAGCAAGTGATAGGCTTGCAGGAATTACTCTTTGGTTCTTTCGGTAAAGTGACGTATAAAGAGAAAAAAATAAATTAAATACTAGCATACGACGTTTCGATTGCAAAAAAAGCAATCATGATCAGGTACAAATTAAATAGGAACACAAATCTAGTATACTTAGAAATGTAATGTAATACAACAGAGAGTCGGATAACATAACAGTCAACACCCTACCTGGTTGATTACGTTCTTCCTGAGAATGCTAAATTTGAGAGAGAGATAAAACACAGAACCAGAGACATATAGACAGACATATAAGTAGAGACAGATATCACAGAGATACATAGAGAGAGACAAACATAGAGAGACAAACATAGGCACTCTCTCTCTATGTATCTCTGTGATATCTGTCTCTACTTATATGTCTGTCTATATGTCTCTGAACCAAAGAGAAATTCCTGCAGTCACGAAAGCTCCAAATTAAGTATAGGCCTGCAGGAGACAATACACACGAATAAATACCTCAAGCCAGGTGAGAGGCCATAAATAACAATGGCTGTTTTGTGCAGCGGTGTGATGAGAATAAACAGCAACTTAGATAGAATTTATTGGCATTATCCCATTGGTAGGAGATAAATCGTGGGAGTAATAAAACATAATTGTTTACTTTAAACACCCTAAGAGCCCGCTGACTCACAAAGCCTCTTAAGCGAGTTATTCATGAAATAAAAATGAAATAAATAACAGCCCTGCATAGAGATGCGATTAAAAGTCTCTTCAAGTAAAGATGATGTTGATTAACCTCATTGTGGTAAAGATGATGAGACTGATTAAACTAAAATGGATAAGCTTTAATGACAATTTTACAGACGGCAATGATGAAGCTTAACACAGCGATGCAAAAAAATGGCAGCAAAACGATTAAAATTTAAATTATTAAAATAGCGCCAGTGAAGATGTTAAGCTGATTATTTATTACATGGATGACAGTATTAATATGATGACATTGATAAATATAATGGTGACCATGGTGAAGATGACAGCTCAACCGAGGACCGAAATTGTGAACATGACCATAATGCAGATTATTGTAATGGTAAAAGTGAAGATAATGCACATGATATAAATACCAATGATGATACACATTCTATTTAAGATTATCCCAGCGATGGTGATCATGATTTTGAGGAAGATGTTGCTCATATCCAGGAATCAGGTGGCCAGGATCGTAGCACCCATCACCTCACCTGGGCGTAAGCCTCAACAAGAACATCCACAATTCATCACGAAGATTTGGTTTTAATTTGAAGCCACACACAACTGATGGGCAAGATGCTGTTCGCAAACACCGATCAAGGCCCGCAACGGGGCGGTGTGACTAGCCCACCCACACAGCTGTCTCCTTAGTGCTGAAGTGTACAAACATCGGGTACTATACTCGTGCAAGACCTGGGGGAGACCCAACACCAAATAAAATACCAACAAAAACGTCTCCACGTCGCTCGTTCCAACCTACGTGCACCTTGAATCAACACACGCACAAGTACGCATGTGGTATACACAAATACTACACCATTATCTCACCGAACAAAAGTATTTACACACTACACCAAACTACCTCGATTTGAAGACCTCTGGTAGGCCAGTCAGTCCACAAAGACCTAAACAGACTGTTGGGGAAAGTGCTCTGCTAAGGAGCATTTATGAAATGCCGGCATGGCACACGAGGGGTTCGGGTGACCAGCAACGACGCCAGGCCGCCTTTGTCTTCCCAGTGCTGATGTTTTACACACCGCACTAGGTACTCATTGGTGACCGAGTCGACCTAGGGGAGAGTCCCGGGACTGGTTCAGATAATCGTCACCGGTGCTGTTGGTCGTGAGCTGGAAATGAACTCGAGTAGCGCAGCGCGCTGACCACGACACTACCGCTCCCCATGCCAGACAACACACAAAGATCCCCCGTATAGTTCTAGATTTGAAGCTTTCGTGACTGCAAGGATTCATATTCTTAGGTTTTTTCGGTAAAGTCACGTAGGTAAAAACATCAAAATTAATGAAATTAAAATAAAATAAAACAAAAAAATCACGACGTTTCGGAGATTTTTTGTTTTATTTTATTTTAATTTCATTAATTTTGATGTTTTTACCTACGTGACTTTACCGAAAAAACCTAAGAATATGAATATCCCCCGTATAGCTTTAACAGACTGTAGGGACAAGTGCTGTTAGCGAGTAGCACCTATGAAGACCGGCACAGCACACGACGGGGTGGGTGACCAGCACCACGCCCGACCGCCTTTGTCTCCCCCAATGCTGATGTTTTTTTTACCGCACCAGAGTACTCATTAGTGGGCCGACTAGTCATAAGGTGAAGGCCCTGAACACACACACGTACAGCATAACAACAACACCACCACCACAGTACCTGTGAGAAGTACAAGTTGAGGAGGCATAGCGTGAAGAACTGCAGACACACGGGGCAGCAGTAGAGGAGCCAGAAGGCGAATGCCCCGAGACGATTTGCCGCCTGGCAGTTCTCGAAGTAGAACACGAAGAGCGTGGTCCTGAGGCCGGCCCAGAGGAGGCACAGGGCCAGGAAGACGGTCTGGAAACTAAAGCGTTTGTACCTGTACCTGAGCACCAGCCACAGCTGCAGGTAGACACAGAGGAAAAGTAGCCCGTAGAGGCCCGTGAAGAGGCCCGTGAGAGCCGTGGCTACCGACGGAGGCACTGCGGGCCCTACAGGAGCTGGAGGGCCCGGGACGTCGCCACCGCCTGCCCACGTTGAAGGGGGTTGTGGTGGTGGTGATGTGAGAGATGATGATGGTGGTGGTGATGGTGCTGCTAACATGGCCATCGACAGCCACAGAGACATGGTTTAAGACCAAATTGCCGCGGGGCAACACGCGTACACGGAATTGGGTGAAGTCCTTGGAGTTGATTACTGCTAGTTCTGTACCCGTACTAAAGTTGATAAGAGTTGGTTGGTTGGTTATAGCAAACGAGCCAATGTTGAGGTATTACGTTGTAGTAACACTAGGTTCTATTGTGCTGTTGGTGATGCGAGATTGTTGATATATTCCTACTGTATTACGGTAATCGTGATATATTATTCCTCTTCTGCTGGTTGCTATGGTTTGTTAGTACAATACCACTGGAACTGCAGTTCCTGTTGGCGGCTACGTGTTGTATGTTAACGATTACATGACATCGAGCATAAAACGTATTTAACTACGCCAAAATGCGTTCGCGTAATTACTTAAACGAAACAACGTTTCAACACTTGCCATGCAGCGTATTTAAATTTTACGTCAGAACTGTGTTTATTTTAGCAATTTAAATTAATATCCCAGTACTTTATGACCTAGTAATGTCAAGTAAATGCGTGAACGCGTTACGTTTACGACGACTGTTGTTGTTGAACTTCTTGCGCGGACTACATCTTTTAAATGCCCCTCCGCCCGTCCGTCACAACATTTGAAATCTGAGGTAAAAAAAAAATGTGTTCGTGAAAAAAAGAAAAATACAATTACTGCGAATGTATCCGATCGCGACGGTTTCCTAACAGGCCCATGAGTGCGAAGGCTTGGGGAAGGAAATGGAAAACAGAAACTTTGTGAGAAAGGGAGAAGAGAAACGAAAAATTAAAAATTAAACGCAAAAGCGCGCGTAACGCCGCGAGCGCGCAGCCCGACTAACTTCCGGTCGTCCAACGCCGCACTTCCGGTAACCCCGTGCGCATGCGCGAGACTGGCCCTTTAAAGTTTCTTGGGTTCTCGGTTGAGTCACTCGCGTGGGTGGGGTTCAGGTTGAGGGGGGGAGCGGTGGTGCGGCGGTTAGCGCCACTGCGCTTAAAAGCCCTGTCGAGCAGAGTTCGTTTAGCTCTCACAGACCTGTCAACCCCTTATCAGTGCCCTACCTTATTGCAGACCAATTGAGACCTTGTTGGTCACCCTTATAAATATCAACGTTCATCCTACAAAGTCCCATCACAAGGGAGAAACACAAACAAATAGACAACACATTTTTGTTGCCCCGTATTGAAACGGCAGTACGCCGTATGGACCTGAAAACTCAATGTCCCTGTACAAGAAATACGGGTAAACCGTATCGGTTGACAGGTGTTATTTTCATGGCCAAATTCGGTGACGTACATCAGAATCGCTCCTGGGCCTGCCCTAAGTCGACTCAGCCTTTGAAAAAGTAGTATCTGATGCGGTGTGTAAAGAATCAGTACTGGGGAGACAAAGACGGCCGGGTCTGGTGTTGGCCACCCACCCCCTCGCCCCAACAGTCTGTTAAAGGACCACGACCGATTCAAATATCGTAGCGCAGTGCGCCAACCACGGCGCCACCGTTCCTCACTCACCTAAGACGCATTGTAAATAAATCTACATACAGGGTGTTTAAAAAAGATGGAAGCAATTTGAAATCGCTATATCTCTGCAACCACGAACCGCCCATGAATGAAACTCTTACCACTTGAAAGGGCGGGGCATAGAGTTTCTAATTATTACCACTGTATGCCTCTCACAGCGCACAAACAGCCCCTAGCCTCAGTCATTCGCAAGACACACTGCCTCAACGTTGGATCGGTCGCACGGGACCCCAAGACTTGGCGCTACACTCTTGGCCCCCAAGATCCCCAGACATCACACCCTGCGACTTTTTCTTGTGGGGATACGCAAAGACCGTGTTTTTGTGCCACCATTAGCGACTCGTCTGTATGACCTAAAAAACAGAATCACGGCAGCGGTGACTTCAGTGGAAGAATACACTTTGAGAGGGGATTGGGGAGAATTCAACGATCGTCACGATGTTGTCCTTACAGCAGGTGGAGGGCACATAGAGCATTTATAAAATGGTTAGTAAAACTTGATAACTCATTAAAACGTCAATAACTGTTTGTGTATTTGTAACATGTTGCCATCGTGAAATATACAGCTTTGAAATTTGGTCCATCTTTTAAAACATCCTGTATTTAAAAGGGAAATTTGTGAATATGTGTGTCTTTTCGAAATGTTTAGCATACTTCCCGACATGCAACAAACTTGAAATTTGGCATGTGGGTAGCTTCCAGACTGTACACAATGCAACAAGTATAAAAGTAGATAATGGATATATTTTGCTCGGCAAGTGAGTGGTGACGTCACATCGGTGATGTCACCCGCATGCGGCAGCGTCACGCAGTGTGCCTGCTGACGTCACCCCCCCAACCCTCCAAGTAGGCCGCGTATTAATCCAAGACAAGATTCCAAGTCCCGGGCGAAGCCGGGTAGTAACGCTAGTACAGTATAACATACGCACAACTCCCACCCACGCGAGCATTGAAAAACTCGCTCTTTCAGTTCCTTATCATTCCCCGCCTGACCCGTCACTCCCTCCACCCCTTCGAGCAGTTTATCTTCATTGCAAGGCTCGTCGGCCACTGGCAACCCCTGGTGACCTTTAGTGCAAACCCCCGACAATACATTAATGGTGAATTCACCCACCCCCGCATCATCATCATCGTCGTGCTGCTGTCAAACCCCAAAGGTTTCAAATTATGTGTGGCAACCCTCGCACACACTGGCGATGTCTTATCTGAACATTTGCGAAGAACACCCCTCCTATCTCATTTAACCGGAGCGTTCTTCGCTCGGAGCGTTCCCCATCCCGACCATTCCTGGAATTCCTGAAGGTTTTCGCGATTGTTGCCGTAGTAATCTCTCCCGTGTGTTTTCGAGTTGTACCAAATGTGTTGTTCGGTATGATGTCCGACGTTTCTGTGGGTGCTCTGGTTTCCTCCCACGCGTGCAACAACAACAATAATAATGAACAAGTCATGCATTTTTCTTCTTGGTTCTATCGGTAAAGTCACGTAGAATGGAAATAATAAAATAATAAAACATAATAAAATAATTCTCATTTTATTATGTTTAATTTTTATTAATTTATTATTTCCATTCTACGTGACTTTACCGAAAGAACCAAGAAGAAAAATGCTGAATTATTTTATTATATTAAATTTTATTATTTTATTATTTCCATTCTACGTGACTTTACCGAAAGAACCAAGAAGATGAATCCCTGCAGTCACGAAAGCTTTAAATCGAAATTTAAGTCATGCATTGGTTGAAAGCATCTTAAAATCAGATCGAATGTAGCAGCAGGACCCTCCTAGAAAAAATAATCGTACGACTCAGTGAGGCTCTCTCCTAGATAAATCATTAAATTATATTTGATTAATATACTTGCATTACAGCAGCGGGGTGAGTGAGCAATTGCAGGGCTGGGCCTTTATCTTTTACGAGCGCCACATGAAGGGCAGAATTAAGCAAAAAAAAAGTTAGACAGCCTGATGGGATATTGAAAGCACACCATCAATCACGCACAACTGTATATATATTTTGCTCTTTTTTGTGACTGCAGTTGATGTATAGCCACCGTGTCAAACCATCGGCGAGCCTCCGCTTTCAAGGCAGGGGTTGGTGGGTCTCCTAGAGATTTGCGCATTGGTGGCGCTAGGTAGAATCACACTAAATAATCGCTCAGGGTCCCAAGCAGCCCAAGGGGCCATGGATTAATACAAAAATGAGTATGCGTTGTCTGTATAGGGATAGAGTGTTTCCCCCTCGCGCACGTCGGGGTTTCTCCCAGTGCTTGCGGTTACCTGTGGAAAATACTGGACCTCTGTGCAATTGCTTGACATCTATGAAAAAGAGATTCATAGCTCATCTGATACCCTCCTGTATAAATAAGTATTCCGATTTTTACTCCTTCCACATGTAAACGGTCATTAATTCTCCGATAACACCTTGATATAAAGAGGATCGCAGAACATGGCCAATTGTTGGTAGCACGTCAGGTTTCTCACTGCCTGGCTGCTGCCTTCCAGCTCGTCCGTGGATCCTCCTCGCGCCTCCGAATCGTTCTTTGTCTAGAAAAGTGAGCGAATCCTGTGCGGCGCATTACCAATTAAAATTTAAATGCTGTAGTAGTAATACTCATAATAATCACGTGATCTATTCTGCTTCACCACTAGGAGTGTATACATTCACAACGAATGGCAGGCAAAACCAGAAAAACAAGAAGTGCGAATTTTTTGACGATTTCGCTAAAATAAAAACGTTGCAATATTTCAAGAGCCGCACAATGCACACGTGGGTGAGCACGAGACGGCGGTGGTCCTCAACGAACGAAGTCACAAAACAATGACGTCACGAAAATAGCACGCGGCTCCGGAGCCGCAGTTTGCCAAATCCCTTTGGCTTAGGGGCCCCCCCAACAACATTGGCGAACACCAAACCACTGGGCAGCTTCACGGTGGTAAATATAGCCACCGGTGACCAGAGTAGGCCTCTTTATCGCCTCGTGTGCATGGGGGGGGGGGGGGTCCTCCAGGATTGAAGTCGTCCTTCTCTCAAGTCCAATGGGAGCGGCGCCCGTCTCTTCTGGAGGTCCTGAACCAGTGGGTGGACATTCCACGTTATATGTGGCGGGGACGAGTCCATGCAATGTGGACCACACTCTCTCTCTCTGTGGTACGAATTTGATCGATCCCTTCATGGGGTGATGATGGGCTGAGTCGACTCCAGACATGCAATGTAACCTCTTGACGTTTGGATTGTGCGTCACGTGCTCTCATTGGATCGGTGTCGATGTCGTCGTCATCAGCCGTGGTCTCTCCACTGCTAGATGAAGCCCTCCCCACGCCGTCGCCATCCCTCACCCTCCTGCGGCGACCGTCGCAATCCAACTCGCTCCCAGCACGCGAGAAGATTTCACCGCTCCATCTCCTCCGCTTCTGACGCGGCTCCCCAAGCGTCGTTTTCTCTCCTCCGGCTGCCGTTCTCTCATTGGTCTCAACCACCGACTATCATCCCCTGGTGTTTTTTATGTGTTATATTTTTATTGCTTCGTAACGTAAAACAGTCTCGAACGGTGTACAATATGATTATTATCTAGGATTGTGTTGCAATATATATTGTTATTGTATTATACGTGACCCCAATATGCCCAGCGTTCGTACAGAGCATTGCAAATGTAAACAACATCCATCCATCATCCTGGAGACAGAAATTAACCTCTCCAGGGTCGATTTGTTATTGTCTTTTACAAAACCTCTTAGCAGCAGCAGCAGCAACAATCAACACCCACAACCACCACAAACGACAAAGATGAAAGGCACCCATGTAGCCTTGAACGGACTGTTGGGGCGAGAGCGCTGTGAATGGCCACCTATGAAGGTCGGCATCGCACACCACGTCGCCTTTGTCTCCCCAATGGCGACGTTCACACACCGCGCCAGGAACTCATTTGAGGCTGAGTTGACCTAGGGGGAGGCCCTCGACCGGTTAAAACATTCGCCACTATCACCGGTCGTGAATGATTGGCAATGCAAAGCGCTAACTACAGTACTACACTACCGCTCCCCACACAACCACCATCACCACGAGTATCAACCACTACCACCACCAACAGCAGTAACGACAACAGCAGCTAGACCACTACTACGAACAATGCCACAATATGACAATAACAATCACCACCTATAATCACCACCAGAAACTGCCGCCTCCGCCACCACAAACAACAACCACAGAGACCACTACCAAAGATAAAGATCCCCCGTAAAGGCTTAACAGACTGTAGGGGCAAGTGCTGTTAGCGAGCACCTGTGAAGGCCGGCACGGCACACGAGGGAATGGATGGCCAACACTACA